CACAACTTAATATATCTCCGACCTAAGGTCGATTCTTATTAGAAAATCATGCTGCACCTTATAGACCTTGATCAAACAAATCATCAGATCTCGACATATTGGCAATGTATTAACCTTTATTCTTGATTGCAGTTTTGTTCTATATTCATGCACATATATCTGAATGATCCATCTTTACCTATTTTTACAAATAACCGGTTTGACTCCCCTACGGGTGATTACACTGAGGGTTGATAAACCTTTGCTCTCTAATTTATCTCCTGCAGTTGAACTCTTTAACTCTTCCTTACGTCTTTGCTTGGTGCCATTTTTGTAGTGCAATTTTGATATACTAATTGTTCAGGGATTAGTATCATTTGGTGTAAACATCACTTTCCCTCTTTGGTAGTGTTAACGACACCTCAGTGAGATAACTAGGATACAATACGTCTTGGATAACTCTCATACAGTATGTTCTTGCACTTTGACTTTTCGTTTCTTGATTTTTTAAGATGCACATACCCACAGTATGCCTTCACTAACCAACCCTTCCTTATTCATCTCTTTGATGCCATGGCTCACACCATCACATTCATATCGTAGAAAAACCTTCGCCTGCTTGCCTTTTACCTTTACTGTTAATCTCTTCCCCTGACTAGTGCTGTTATATAATGGTCAGACCTCTCGTTCTTTTCCACAATCAATACTATCTAAGCTCTGATGTCTAGATAGCCTCCATACGCCAAGAATTAACATCAAATTTCTCTGAAAAATGGCAACTCTAAGATCTCCTGGAAACTCCTTTCCATGAGATACCAACTTTGGACAGGCCTCTTTGACCACTGTAGGGTTTACTACATCTCCTAATGGATAGTAACCAAATACCCTGATCACATGTGCAACTGCTTACCCTTTAACCAAGGTTTAGTTACGTCTAATGTATGAATGTGATGATCCCAGATCAATCAGTGCATAAACTGTCATGATCACATAAAAGAAAACTCCACCAACTATGACATCTGGAGCTTCCTCATCTTCCTTGGCTCGCTCGCAGAGACCCTGGCTGGAACTCTGGTATCGGGTCGTCCATAGTCTCTGACTGCTATATCGGGTCTGTCCATAGTCTCTGACTGCTATCTCTGCCCTCCGGAGGTCTCACCTCTACCCCTGCCTGTTATGAACTGTGTAGGAACTTTTGCCCTCTTAGGACAGTCCTTCTTCTGATGGTTTGATGCTACGCATATCCAGCATTTACCAGTCACCATACAACAATCTCCACCATGCCGTCTGCCACAATGCTCACAAGGTAGAAAAGTATAACCGGCTGACCCTGCATCTCTACTGGTGCCTCTACCAGTTCCTCTGCCTGAACCTCGATTACCACCGGCAGAACTAGCCACAACTGATACCGCTGGTGCATTAGCACCCCTAGCTATGCCTTGTCTAAAGGGAGGCCTAGAACCAGCTGAAATACTAGCACCCCTGAATCTCTTACTCTCCGACTGATATGTACTGGGTGCACTCTGAGTCTAGTCTCTCTTTTGCTGCGACTGCTGGCGTTTGGTACGCTGACTGGCCTGAATTCGCTCTGTCTCCTGAGCTACATCTACCAAAGCTGAGAACTCTCTGAATCAGGAAGCTACCACTCCGATCTGAACCTCATCGTTCAGGCCTTCCTGGAGCTTTTTACACCTCTCGGCCTCTGTAGCCACTATTTGGTCACCATACCTGCTAAGTCTGGTGAATTCTCTTTCATATTCTGCAACTGACATTTTGTTCTGCCTAAGGTATAATAAGTAATTTCCTTCCTTCTTAGCATCAAGGAAGCCTCTATGATGAACATTTTTCTTTGAATTCATCCACAAAGAATTGCAGGTAACGCCTGCTCTGGACACTCTTCTGCCCTAACAGATATTTTCTCTCTGCTAAACAGTATTCCACCATGTGTATGCCTCATCTATCAGCAATGATGTAGCGAATCAACTTGTCTCCTCTGGTGTACACTGTAACTGTTCCAGGACTCTCGACGTCCCATCTAACCAATACTCAGCTATTTCTGGACTATCATCCTTGCTAGCTTTGAATTCTTTCGCACCGTATTTTCAAAGCTTCTCTAGTGGGGGCTTTCTTTCTCTGTCTACTACTAGTGGTGCCTGAGGTATCACCCCTGCAATCTATCTAAAAGTATCCACAAGTTGTTTTAACAGCACCTCTTGTCCTGGTGCTACTGGAGCCTCACCCTCCACTGCTCTGGAGGCGTGTGACTCGCTCTCACCTTCCTGTGACATCCTCCTAAAAGAACATTAGTTCATCAGGTAACATGATGTACACTGACAATATGCATTCAAAGCTCGGGGAAAACTAAACCTACGGCTCTCAGACGCTATAATTGTTGAACCATGTTCCCTTGTCTGCTGATATATAATGTATGCTAATAATTATCATGCTTGTTGCTTTCTACATTAGTAAAATAATAGATATGTACTATATTTCTACAAACATTATACTAGGGGTTTTCAAATGGAATGGGCCCAACTGTGTGCCCTGTACCCTGTACATGCCATGATAAGGATAGACAGAATCAAAATATCAAAATGAGTAGCTACCTTGAAGACTGGGTCTTCCAAAGATGAACTGCAGCATTTGTAAGATGACTCTCTACGGTCCAGTCCCAAAACCTACTAGTTAAACAAGTAACTCGCTGAGCAATAAAACTCAGTGGATATCTCAACATATAAAGACTCATGTAAACACAGACATATGTATAAACAAACATGGAAACACGTATATATGTATAACGAAACATGTAAACACACATATCATGATACTTCCATTATTGTACTTGCAGTGCATTATGCCGAATGAGTTATGCAATTTTTAGTCAATATAACTATATGGCTCCATAAGGTTATAGTGAAACCAAAGTGATAAGAGGAACTGTATGAAACTGGATGAATACTGTATGACTGGCCTGCTACATATAAACCATCATACAATCATATTATGAATTAGAAGTGACTTAGTATTCATAAGTTTAGCAAGTAAGAATATTTTGTTTTGAAAATGATTTGGGAGATTCCTATAGAAAAACTGCAAGAGTTTCCCCTAAAAATAGAAGTTGCCAAACATATGAATACAAGCATATTAACTGCTTCATTAAATTCATTAAACCATAGCTGTCACTTTCCTGTTATGCTGATAGTCCCTACAAAGGGGCAACTTTGTGTTTGTTATTTCAATCAAATTTGCATGTTCGCATTTTTTGTTTTTTATACATTTGCTCATGTTGTTCTTTTGTTTTAAAATGATTGTAGGAATACAATTTGAGCAAGGAATACAATTGCATAGAAAACAAGAGGCTAAAAGAGCATCAGGAAACACAAGTCGCTGAGCTGCGAGAAGCACACAAGGAGGTCAGAGAGTTTAACAGGCACAATTCGTGAGCGGCGACATGCATTTCGCCGAGCGCGAGTCGTGTTTTCCCAGCCTGTGCGTGTTGTTACTTCATATCTCAATTATAACTCAAACATTTAGGTGATTCAAAAAACCCACGGACAGCTAAACATAGAGGGAACAGATAACTCTTCTATTCCACTTCCTAATCCATCATAAAATAGGCGTCAAAATGAATGTGAAATAGCTGGTCAATTTCCAGCAAACCTGTTTCATGTGATAAACTCAATATTCTACTTCATTTCATCATTTCATTCCCATGCTTTCTCACCATTTCCAAGTCCTCTTAACTCAACATTAAAGCAAGCATATCTTCTCATTATCAACCACACCACACAAGTTCTCATGCAAGGAAATTTAGTTAAACGAAAGAGATATCAACCTTCACTTCAAAAGCTTGCTTGAAATCTTCTTAGCTTCCTTTTTCTTCTACCTTTGAGCTTACCTCTCCTATACATAAGAACTCTTATGAATAATCTACAATATCACTAAATTAGAGGTTGAATAAAGTAGAGCTTCAAGAAATTCTACTTACTTGGATAGAATAGAGGTTGAATTTAATGCTTGACTACCATTAAAATTGATGGAGAAAGGAAGGAGGAAGAGTAAAGTAAATGAAGGAGATGAAGATAAAGATGAAGAAGGGAAAGTGAAATGGAAATCATGGGTAGGCTCCAAAATATCATTGATTGTATGTGTAAAATTACCAAATGGTACCTCAATTGTCAATAGGTTACAACTTAATACCTAAGCTTTATATTGTAGTGCAAGTAAGTCCTTAATCCTATACTTTGATCTTTTTGTTTATTCAAGTAAAATCCACTTCTTATCATGATTATAGTAAGAATCCATACTAACCACTCTGGAACTCTAATTGGCTTACGGGTTTGGTTTCACAGCCCGACTCAAACTCTTACTCTTATGTCGACTCTATGCAACGACTCGACTCAGTAGAATGTCACAGTTTGGGGATGAGCGGTGCTGTTGTAGTGAAGTTGAGTGTTGAACCTCTTCCGCAAAGTTATCCAGAAGTGAGCTAGAAACTTCGGGTCTCGGTCAGATGTGATCATTTTGGGAATGCCATGCAAATGCACAATCTCTTGGAAAAATAACTTCGCTATGTTTGATGCATCATTAGTTTGCTTGCAAGGAATAAAGTGTGCCATCTTGGAGAATCTGTCTACAACAACAAAGATAGAGTCAGCTCCGCATTGGGTTCGAGGTAAACCGAACACAAAATCCATAAATAAGTCCGCCTAAGGTCGTTTTGGTATAGCCAAAGGAGTGTAAAGACTAGTGTTTTAAGAATGGCCCTTTTGTGTCTGGCAGACGGAACACCTTTGTAATAGCTTTCCTGCTTCCTTCTTCAGTCGTGGCCAATAGAATCGAGACTCTAAACCTGCAATAGTTTTATCTTGTCCCAAGTGTCCGCTCAATCCTCCGCCATGGACTTCTCTGATTAACTTTTCTCGAAGGGAAGACCGAGGGATGCATAGTCTATTTTCTTTGAATAGGTACCCATCATGAATTAAGAAATCGTCGGTAGGCTGTTTAGCATCAATTTTTGTCTAGGTGTCAACAAAATCTTCGTCCGAGCCATAGAGATCTTTAAGAAAGTCGAACTCAATAATCTCTTGCTTGATTGTGATCAATAGAGTTGCTCTTCTGATTAAAGCATCTGCTACTGTGTTGCATGTACCTAACTTGTGCTTGATGATATAATGGAAAGCACCAAAATAAGTTTTCCAATGTGCATGCATCTTGCTCACTTTCTTTTGAGTTTGAAAATGAGTCAGAGCCTGATCATCAGTGTAAACAATGAACTCACGTCCCAACAAATAATGTTCCCAAGTCTTGAAAGCTCGAAAAACTGCATACAATTTCTGTTCATAAGTGGACCATTTCTGCCTAGTTTCATTCAACTTCTCACTAAAAAATGCAATAGGCTTTCTAGATTGAGACAAAACACCACCAATTCCAACCCCACAAGCATCACAATCCACTTCAAACAGTTTATCAAAGTCAGGTAGAGGAAGAATAGGGGCAGAAGTAAGCTTATCTTTGATTTCTTCGAAGCTCTTATTTGTAGCTTCAGTCCATACAAACTGTCGAACTCTCTCCTTCTTCAAAAAATCTGTAATGGGAGCTACGATGCTACTAAAGTTCTTGATAAACCGCCTATAGAAAGTGGCAAGTCCATGAAAGCTGCGAACGTCAGTGATGTTCTTAGGAATAGGTCGATTTCGAATGGCCTCAATGTTTCTATCATCAACATGAATTCCTTCCGAGCTAACAACATACCCAAGAAATAGAATCCGCTCCATCATAAAGCTACACTTCTTGAGATTGATATATAATTCATTTTTCTGCAAAGCTTCCAACACCCCTCGAAGGTGTTGAATGTGTTCTTCCTTGTTGGGACTAAAAATCAGAATATCATCAAAATAAACAACCACAAATTTGCATAAGCAAGGGCGTAAAACCTGAGCATAAGTCGCATGAATGTGCTTGGTGCATTAGTCAATCCAAATGGCATAACCAACCACTCATATAACCCTTCCTTGGTCATGAATGTAGTCTTGCATTCATCTCCCTCCTTGATTTTGATTTGATGATACCCGCTGCGAAGATCTATTTTGGAGAATACTATAGATCCTGACAGCTGGTCCAGTATATCCTCCAGACAAGGAATAGAAAATCGATACTGCAATGTGATTTTGTTTACTGCTCGACTATCCACACACATCCTCGAAGTCCCATCCTTTTTTGGTACTAATAAAGCAGGAACCCCACAAGGACTAATACTCTCCCGGATATGACCCTTTTTCAATAATTCTTTCACTTGTTCTTGAAGGATCTGACTTTCCTTTGGATTTATCTTATGGTGGGGCAAGTTTGGTATCTTCGATCCAGGGATGAAATCTATTTGATGTTGAATGTCACGCAAAGGTGGGAGTGTCGAGGGTTCTTCTGTGACAACATGAAATTTATCAAGCAACTCTTTGATTGGTGGTGGTATTAGTGCCTCTTTATTAAGGTCTGCCTCGGGTTTGATCAATAATGCTAATGCACCTCCAGACTTCTCAATTGCACCTGATAAATCATGTACATTGGAAGAAACAGTTACCATGGATTTCTCCTCCACTTTAGAAGCTTTGGAAGAAGATCCAGAAGGTAAGACAATGATATTCTTATTCTTCCAAGAAAACAAGTATGAATTCTCTCTTCCCTTGTGCAATACATCCACATCAAACTGCCATGGACGTCCCAATAGTACTCCGCAGGCATCCATGTCCACAACATCACAACTGACACAGTCTGAGTATGATTTTCCCATTGAGATGGGAACATTGAGTATGGGACCTTACGTCCCAATAGTACTCCGCAGGCATCCATGTCCACAACATCACAACTGACACAGTCTGAGTATGATTTTCCCATTGAGATGGGAACCTTGCAAACCCAGTTTACTTCAATTGTTAGACCCTCTTTAATCCACGCTACCTTGTATGGTGAAGGGTGTGGTTCAGTCGATAAACTGAGCTTTTCAACCAGCTGCTTTGCTATCAAATTCTCACAACTGCAATCGTCAATGATAAGCGGACACAATTCTTCATCGATTCTACATTTAGCTTGAAAGATTTTTCTCCGTTGAGTGTCACTTTCTTGTTTTGGAGAGTAAAAATTTTTTTTAATCACATATGTTACTTCACCATCTTCTGAACCTGCCAAGGACCCATCTTCTTCGTCTTCCACTTCTTTAACCTCAGTCACCTCATCGACTAAATTAACTTGCCAATGCCCGTCAGTGGCACCCCTACACTCTGGACAAACATTAGAGGTATGCCCTTGCTTTCTACATCGGTAACAATAGTCTCCGGTTGGTTTCTCGTACAGGTTAAGTTTGTTGTTTCTATCTACTATAGGAGCCTTATCTCGGGAGTCTTTCTTTTCCTCGGTTAAGGGCGGTTGTGAATTCCAGTTATTGACAGGGGCTGCTACTCTTGAATTCTGTACTCCAGGATTTCTGTTAAATGGTTGATTTCCAGATGAGTATGGTTGTTTGAAATTCTAGGTACAACTAGACGGTTGTCTAGGCTGCCAATTAATTCGATCCTCCGCATGTTTGGCCATCTCAATTTCATCTGCCAATGTGAAAATCGCAGCTACACCCATCATACACATGATATCATGGTTCAATCCCCTCTGGTAATAAGCTACTTGCTAGGATTCGGTTTCACAATTGTCACAACGAGCCTGTAGTCTCAAAAACTCTTCCATATAGTCATCAACTTTTTGATTTCCCTGAAAACAATAATGGTACCTGTTGTACAGAATTTGAGAGTGATCACTGGGGAGGAAACGTTGCTCAATCATCTATTTCATTAAAATCCAATCCCGTAAAGGTTCAATCCTTCGACGATGGCTTTCGTTTTGAACGGAATGCCACCATGCTGCTATACCTCCTTTTAATTTATAGGCTATGATGGAAACCTTGCGTTCATCCTCAACGTTCATGACCTCAAAGAATCGTTCAACCTCCGCTAGCCAATCAAGGGTGCTTTCAATATCTAACGATCCTGAGAAAGGTTGAAGATCTACCTTTATCTTGTATCCTTCATGAAAGTTGTCACCATTGCCTCGGTAATCTCGGCCTCCATCATAATGATTTTGGCGTCTTGTAAAGTCTGGTTGCTGCTGATTCGGTCCTGCTATTGCAGCTGCATGTTGATGGTTGCCCTATTGAATCACAAGAGTCAACTGTCTAATTAGTTCAGTTAACTCGTCGAATTTTGCCTTTATGGCTGTGAGCCGTGCTTCATGATTTTCGGCCATGGAGATACTTTGCCTTTCGGCTCTGATACCAACTGACGCAGAACGGTTACGTGAATGGGATAAACTATTATACTCCGTCAGAAGTTTTGATCAATAACGTATGATCGGATGAAATAAATAGAGAAATAAATTCTCAAAGGAGTTTATTGATATGAAAGAGAATGAATGAATTCATGATACAAAATAACCTATTTATAGGTTTAGGCTTAAGCAATTTAAAACCCTAAAATAACACAAAGGAGTATAACTAGGCAAAGCCCGAATAAGGGCGGCGGCACAGGTGTGCTAGGGGTGGCACGGGCGTGCTAGGACTTCCAGAGGCTAGCACGGGGTGTGCTTGTCATGGCACGGGCGTGCCACAAGTCGAATCGTAATTAGAACCGTCAGCACGGGCGTGCTAGGACTTCCAAAGGCTAGCACGGTCAGACCCTCTGTGGCACGGGCGTGGGCGTGTTTTGAGCCTTGGGCGTGTTCTCAACTGCTAGAGTCTCGCACGGGCATGCTAGGAGTGGCACGGCCGTGCGTTTTTTTCTTTGATTTGCATCTGTCCAAGTCTTCCAAATATTGAAGTGCAAGTTGCTCCGCATCAGCGGGTGAGTCCTGTTTGATTATTTCCTCCTTCTGGTCAAACATGTTTTCGAGACTGGCTTAGTTCTGGGTTTAGTCTTTTTCAAAGTGAGTAGTTGGAGATTCTTGTAACTACAGCTTGGGCAATTTGGAAGGGCAGCAATAGCTAGATCTTTCAGAGCAAGAAATTGACAGTAGTTCAAATGGTCAATATGGCAAGTGGAATTGTTGGAGAATACCAAGATCTAAATGTGGCCTCTGTGTTGGTTTTTGTCAATCAGCAGAGCCAACGATGGCATCCTCCCGCTGCAGACATAATTAAAATTAACACTAATGTAACATTGTCGGAGGAAAGCAACTGTTATGGTCTTGGCTCCATAGTGAGAAACAATACAGGTGATGTGATGGCAACTGCTGTTAGAAGATTGTCAGGCCTATTGTCACCAGAGGAGGATGAGATGGAAGCTGCTTTGTTTGCAATTTAGATTGCCCAAGATTTGTCCTTTGCTGGAGTAGAGATCGAGTCTAATTGCCTCATGAATGTTCGACGATTTGCTGCACAGGACTTCCCTGCTACTGAGATGGGCGCGAGATTCTGGAATGCTAAGGTTCTAGCCTCTAGTTTTGCTTCTTTTAAATTCTCTTATATTAATAGAATATGCAATAAGCCAGCCCACCAATTGGCTAAGTTAGCTTTAGTTATAGATGAAAATTTGCAAGTTTGGGTGGAGGGTTGTCCAAACCCATCTTACTTTTTGTATCTGCAGACAATGATTTAAGCAGTTAATATAATTGCAATTTTCCTTCTCAAAAAAAAAAAAAAATCATTTGTTAAGTTTAGGGTGACAAATGGTTAAAACATTAAAGTAAAAAAATGTAATAAATCACAATTATTAAGGGGAAAATCATACATTCGGCTAAATACATAATAGGAGGTTCAACTCCTGGATAAAGTAAAAAAATGTAATAAACCATAATTCCTCAACTCTGAGAAACAATTCCAACGAAAAAAAAAAATCTTGTAAGGTTAGTTCACTGAATTGACATATGTAATTATAAAGATTAGAACTGGTCTTTTCTATGTTCCGATTTATTTGTCACTAGGCGGTTTTCCGTATTATTTCATAATTTAAATTTAAATATTATTATGTAGAATTAAAATAACAGGTGGACGAAAATAAAAAGTCAAAAAAGTTTATTCAAATTAAAATGGTTATGTCATCATTTTATTAGATTACGGCATATGCAAAAAATAACATTAGTTACAAATATTTTTTTTTTGATTAATTTCTGCCTTTGTTGATCCAAAATCCATATAAGTACCTTTTTCCACTTGCAATATTAATATAGAACAAACTTTATATTAAAATTTAATCTCAAAATTAATTTGGCACATGCAAAAAAGAACATTAATTGCAAGTATTTATTTTTAGTTAATTTTTGCATAATCTATATAACTAATATATTTTTTCACCTGCAATATTAATATAGACCAAACTTAATATTGAAATTTTATTTCAAAATTAATTTTGTATAATTTTATTCGAAACATTATTAACCTAACAATATCGAACTAATTGATAATTGAAAACTATAAAAGACTTCAATAGTCATTATGTTTAAAAGTAATAAATTAGAAAGTAATTTTGAAAGAGTTATTATTCAAGACCCATTATGTTTAAATGTCGTAAATTAGATATTACTATCTTTGTTCCATAATACTTGTCACATTTGGAATTTCACGTCCCTTAAGAAAACTATTAAATTTGTTTAAGTTACAATAAATTCTTCAGTAAATTAACTATATTGGCCTTAATTTAATACTAATTTCTCTAAAAAAATCAATAAATTGAAGTAATGATTATTGGTCTTATACAAAGGGTAAATATAGAAAAAAAAATTATTACTCTTTAAAACCACAAATGTGACAAGCATTTTGGAACAAATTATTTTCTCAAATGTGACAAGTATTATGGAACGGAGATAGTAATTCTGAAAGAGTTATTATGTGAAAATCCATAAAATCCATAAATTAGAGAGGGGTAAGGAAGACATATTTTCTATCCAAAATCTTCAAATTTTCCTAGCTAAGTTAATACCAAATATTTAAATTTTAGAGAATTTCACTTTTCAAAGAGAGTGTCGCGTCAGTATTCATAATTCTTTTTTATTATATATAATAATAATAATAATAAAGTTTTGGTTCAAATTTTCATAGAATTGTAAAAAAATTAAATTTCAATATTTAAATTGCGATAAATTAAAATTTAGTCGCAATAATAAAAATCAGTACAAAATTCAATAATCAGTAAAATGGTTTATTACAAGCTTGGCAACAATGACGGGGTTCCCGCCCACTAACCAAAGTTTTTAAAAAATTACTTTATAAATTTTTGAAATTTTTTATTTTTTAGAATAATAAATATTTTCAATTTCACCCTTCAACTTTTTAAATTTTTTTAAACCCTCTTCTTAGCTGTGTTGATAACAATATTTGATTGATTTGGGTGATAGTCTATCTAGTTTAAAAAGAATTTTCAAAAACAAATTACGGTTTGAAAATTTTTCAAAACAAACAAAATAATTTAATCAATAAATTAAGCTATAATAAAAGATTTTGCTGCAATATGGTTTACAGAAATATGTCAATATATGCAACAACATAGATGTTATAGCTTTATAGTTACAAAGTTTCAACGTCATTGTTGAATTATTTAAATCACTTCACCTACATCGTTAATCGGAATCATTGACAATATTAATAATTTTTTTTTACAAATATTTATTTTGAGTTATGTACAGGGACCCAGTTTTCCATCAAAAGAGTAGTCTTAAAGTTTTTTTGAGAAGAGGTCTGAAAGAAATGCCATTGAATTCGCAAAAAGCATAAATAGAGCGGGTCATATGGAAAAAACAAGGTCAAAGAATTCTCTGCCACACCTTGTTTAGTGGTCACAGTCACCTTTTCTCTTACTTTCATTTTTTTTTTTTTTTTTTTTTTTTTCAAAGAATTCTCTTGCACACCTTGTTTAGTGGTCACAGGTCACACTTTTCTCCTTTACTTCATTTTTTTTTTTTTTTTTTTTTTTTTTTTTTTTTTCAAATGCCGTTTTAGACTGTAGTGGTCATATCGTCTCCAAAGTCTCACCAATTCTACACCTTTATTCAGATCAACACTTTCACTTCCGTTAATAGATTCCTGATAGTTACAGCCAATTTATAGTTGCTTGCAGATTATGAAAAACACTATGGTCTGAAGCAATTGCAGAGCTTTTTTTTTTTTTTTAAGAACCGATGTGTGTTAATCCTTTTAAGCAGTAGAACTTAAATGTTTTTTTATATTTTCAGCAAGTGTGTATTTTGAGAACCAAACTTATGCTTTAGTCTTATGGAGTTCAATATCACCTCAATTAACATATTCGTTAGTAATAATAAAAGATACCTGAATAGAGTAGCTCACGAGCTCGCTAAGTTATTTTTTTCTGTTAGCTTAGATGAGTGTATTTGGGTTGAAGAGGTACAACCCTCTTGTTAATCATCTGGTTATTGATGATATGATTTCGATGATTTAATAAAGTTTATTTATTTCCTAAAAAAAAAAAGATGCCTACTTGTGAAAACCTTGCCCTCAAAAGGGGCGCCCTTATTATCATGGAAAAAAAATAAAATTTTGAGAAAAAATAATGTCAATTAATACTTATTCTTCTATAATTTATATCTATCTATCTATTTATACTATATATAAAAGTGGAAATAAGGGGAATAATGAGATTGCATACAATGCCCTTAACGAAATTTTAAATATTCTAAAATAGCCTTATTAATGATCAATTAAATTTTATTGTGGATATTATGCTTAATAGATAATTAATGTTACAATAATACCCTTAATGAAATTTAAAATATTCTAAAAAATACCCTTAATGAAAATTTAAATATCTAAAATAATATTATTAATAATCAAATTAATTTTATTTTAAATATTACGTTTTATATTTACATAATTAAATGTTAACTACATTACCAAATTAAATTTTATTTTAAATATATATAGTTTAATAGATAAATTAAAAGTTAACTATATATTAATAAATTTATTATTTTTTTTTAATGTTATATAATAAGGCTATACATAAAAATTAAAAATTCCTTTATTTACTATATATGTTTTTAGTTTAATTCGATTTAGAATTTAAAATTAAATGTTAGAGCTAAATACATATTACTTATTTCATGTATTTATTGTAATTATTTTTCTCTCTTTAACCTAACAGATAATAAAATAAATTTATAATCTAATCTACATAAATGTGAGAATAGATGAGGGAATTATGGGATTTTCTAAAATAGCTTTAGTTTAATTTGAAATTCCTAATATATCATTTTAATTTACTTTTTATGCATTTTAATCGAAGAAAATAAGTCTATTTATCCTTTTGAAGATCTTTTTTAGTTGTATTTTTAATGTATTTTAATCGAACAAAATAGATTCCATTTTATCTTTTTGAATATTCTTTTAGTTAGACTTTTTATGCATTTTAATTCGAGAAAATAAGTATATTTTCGAGAAAAATAAGTATAGTATTTATATATATATATATATATATATATTATATATATATATATATATATATATATATATATATATATATATATTCCTATTTGATCTTATAAATATTATTATCCAATAATTTTTTTTACATTAATAGTTTTTTTAAATATTTTAATCATATGTTCTTCAATGTTTATATTCTTTTTTTAGGAGAATAAATGAAAATCTTAATTGAACTATTAATAGATTTAAAATTCTTTTAATTTAATTACTGAATTTTTTAAAATATGATTAAACACTTTATTATTAGACTTTGTTAGTTAATTTCAATGAAAGTAAAATAATTTTTTAAATATATTATTTTTCTTTGAATTTTTTTTTTTTGAAGAAGATGGTGTATACTTATTTGAATCATTTACATATTGTATTTTAAAATTTTTTATAGTATTTGACTAATATAAAAAAAGAGAGTTGCCCTTTTTTAGTCTAATGAAATTTATTTGAAAAAATAGGC